CTCTTTTGTTTGCAGGATTGTCCCTTGGAACAGCAATTGCAGTCGCAATAGTTGGATGCGTCTGCCTCACACCAATGAAGATGATGAGGGTGGTGTTTCCATACATTAAAAAGTGTGGTAACCATAATGTAGTATTTGGTTTTATTATTTCCAAACGTGCTTTTATAACTCATTACTCACACATTTTGATGGTTGTTGCCTTCATTGTATTTGTTATCTTATTCAACGCTGCACTTACCACTTCTACTAAGTACAATCCTTATGATGAATTGGACTGTTTTGCAAGTTACAATGGCTCAAAATTTAAGTTGGAATCAGAAGAACAAGCAGAAATGGAAAATGCAACAAATATAAGTTGCTATGGTTGGAATACAGATATTGCTGGAGGAATAGGTCATGCAGCAGCTATACTGACTCTATCATGGGTCTTCATATCTATTGTACTGTGGATTAAATTAAATTTAGGTGACAAATTTGAAAATTGCATTTTAGCTTGTAACAAAAAACTCAAGTTAGATCCTGAAAATTCTGCAATTCTTAAATGCTGTAACTTTTCTCTAATAATCTCCTTCCATATAATTTTTAGTTTATGCATTTCAGTTCTAATAATGACATTATTTACCTTAGTTATAGGATTTGACTTAGGTCTAAAAGAAATCTTTGATGCTACATTAATCAGTGCTAACCTGTATTCAGGGACTACAGTAGTCTCAATGGGAAAAAAACCAAAATCTCTAGCAGACTGCTGTAAAGAGGCAGTACAGAAAAATCAAAAAAAAGGGGCAGCAGATTTAAAAGATATCAAAAAATAAATAAAGAGAAAGGTCCAAGGTCACCAAATTCAAGTTGATCTTCTAGTGGAACTGACAGAATTGGAATGTAAGAGAGCACTGGCTGAAATATATTATTATGGTGATAAAAAAGAAAGGGAGAATTTGGAATTATATGGAAAAAAGATTATAACTATCAGTGAAGAGCAGATGAAAACAATTGCTCAAGTTGCCTATAGCAAGATACCCAAAGTGCCTAGTGTCTTGTCTGAGACTACTTCGTCAGGTGAGAGAAGTGAAGAAGAGCAAACTGATGACCAATCAACTGATACAATAAGCAGTTCATCTACTGAAAACAGACAAACCACAGAAATAATTACAATCACAGTCGATGATGAAGAAGCTACACCTATGGAGATGCCTATTAATAGCCAATCAGAAAGAGAGGGGCTATTAGATAAGAAGACTAGAAAAAATAAAACTTATTTGTGATAACTGCTCACACAGTGAAGCACCTGTGGTGTGAGAACTTGCAAAAATGATGTGTTTTAATTTTAATATACTTTAATGCATGCATGTTTTTTAACTTTAAGCAAAATTATTGATAAACTCTCCAAAAATCTTATAATCAGTAATAAATGCTGCTAACTGCTTAGATCACCACAGCCACAGTCACAATCTAAAGATCTGATTAGAAAAATGATAGCACATAATTCCTAATGTGTTGCTTCAAGTCACAATCAAGACAACATTATTGCTCTTTGAAAACCAAACTTGTTTCTTTATAACAAGCAACTTCTCCTCTTTTAATGGTGCTAGGTACAGCACTGTTTAAGTATCTATGTAAGAGAAATAAGTAAAATAGTATGGGTATCCATCACAGCATGAGTGAAACCATATGATTTCCTGCACTTCCGGTGTTCAGAGAAGTGTAGGGCCTTCGTGTAGACTGTTTAAGGGCTGTTTTTATATCTCGGTCAAAAAAGAAAGCTTAGCTGTATTCTTAGGACATTTATA